GAGTTTGAGCTGGAAAGGCCACCACATCTACCCAATAACAAGAACCCCAAGAAGTCCTCCCTCAAATGCTCTCCTCCCTTTAACCTCCTTTCTACCCCTCCATCCTCCAACCACAACCACAACCACAATGGGGATATATCACCGGACAGCAGCAAAAGAAAAAAGGACTTGTTTTCTGAAGATGGTATCGAAAATCATCCGGTTGCTGATTCGGAAGTCGTCCACCCAAGGTGGCTGGGTGAATTCAGTGGGGTGATGCGCGATGTATACGGACCGGTCACTGCTGCGAAAAGCATATACGAAGACAATGAGGGTTATCTGATCCTAATCAGTCTGCCCTTTGTGGATCCTCAGAGGGTGAAAGTGTCGTGGAGGAACGCGCCCACACATGGCATAGTAAAGGTGTCTTGTGTGAGCACATCTCGCGCGCCATTCATCAAGAGGCAGAAAAGGACTTTCAAGCTCGCAGATTCCTCTGCCGAGCACTGCCCTCCTGGAGAGTTTGTCAGAGAAATCCCACTTTCAACCCGGATTCCGGAGGACGCTAATATAGAAGCCTACTTTGATGGGTCGGGTACGGTCCTCGAGATTCTGGTGCCTAAGCTTCTAGAAGGGTCAGAAGAACATGAAGTGCTTGTTTGCCTTCACCCTCACCTTGGTGGCAACAATGACCTCATTTTGAACTAGCTACCTAGCTACGGTGTTGTCATGCATTAATCGTCCACGCTCGCTGTTTATTTATTTTTATTATTACTCGTATTATTATTTTAGAATAAATAAAGAAAGGCCGAATATGATATTCACCACCTTATATGGTCTCTAGTCTGTGATATTCCATGTCTACATATAACAGTGGTTACATTGCTATTTGAATATGAAGCTTTGGTTTATTTACTGATGTGTGTTAGGGAGGAGGTGTCCCATGAGATAATGCTGGATTATTTGTAGCTGATGGAGGGTATCTTCTTTATGTCAATCAATTTCAGATGAGCAATGCTAGGGGTACACCAAAGGTGTACTCCATTTGTCCCCACCTTCTTCTCCATCACCCATTTTTATCTACTTTTTATTTATTTAATTTTTTTTTTAAAATTCTTGCCCATTTATGTGGTAATGGAGGGGGTGGGGGACAAATGGGGTACACCTTTGGTGTACCCTAGCATTTTTCATTTCAGATAGCTCTCCACTTTTAGGGACCATTATTATTATTATTATTATTATTATTATTATTATTATTATTATTATTATTATTATTATTATTATTATTATTATTATCTACCAATATTATTGCATAGCTAATGATATTTGCCATTGATAGGTGGAAGATACGTGTTCAATTTTCCACCCATTAATTAATTCATGCTCTCACTTCGCCGGCCCTTCCTATTTTAAGAGACTTTGTTTGTATCTCGAATTACCCGTCCGAGTTGACATGCCAGGATCCCCCCAATGAACACGAATATTTTGAAATATATACTCCCTCCGTCCATGTAAGATCTTCTCATTACGCGTTACGAGGCTTGACCGACTTTATTTTCAATTCAATTTAATTCATTATAGGAGTAAAATTTTAAAATGAAATTTATATAGTAATAAAGTACATGAAAAGTTCTACACAACTAGAGGTGACAAGACTATATTTTTTTATGAAATGACTAGTAAAAATGAGCAAACAAAGTGATTAAAGTTTGACCCTGTGAATAGTGTCTGGGAAGATCTATGGTGGACAGAGAAAGTACTATACGTCCGAGTTGACATGCCAGAAATATATTTCTCCATTTATTTGAGAAATAAACATGTGGCTGTGTCTGGACAAGTCATGTGTTATTGGGATCTAGTGTAGTTGCGTGTAATTATACTCTTTTGGGTAAAGCTATTTATACCCCATGTTTTGTACCCCATTTTGTACCCCGTAGCTTTGCACAAACACTTTGTGTTGGTGTAAAATTAATTTTTGTTAATGCACCAACATTTTGTGTCCGTGTAAATTTTTGTTAATGCACCAACACTTGTGTCGGTGTAAATCATCAAAATGTTTGTGTATAACTACGGTGTACAAATGGGGTACAATTTGTGGTGTAAGTGTTTTCGTGGTTGGTTGTGTAAGAGCAATTTTAGTGAGGGGTACTTAGGTGAGTTCTTAGTTAAGGGATAGTTGTTTCCTTGAACAACTTTTTTTGATAAACTAGGTAACTTATGCTCCATTTAGGGGGTGTATTCTGGGAGGTTTATTCTATCTAAATTTTAAAAGATTCTGATAGATTCTTAGAATTCATGGATTTCATAAATTCACTAGATTTTTGTGGATTGATAAGTTAAACAGACCTCCATGATCTTTCCATTAAAGATGCTATAATACGCGCACAGAGTTGTAATTACTTCATTAGTCTAACCATAAACTTTTTATTTTGAACAATGTGCAAAATTTTATTTTTTTAAAAAATTACTTTATTTACAAATTGGTATATCATAAAAAAGTACAAATTATGTTGTTCAAAACAATATCAAAAGTTCGGGGAAACAAGATTCGACAAAAATATTTCATCTTATCAAATGATTGATGAAATTATGCAAACAAATATAAGTTATCGAAAGCCCATAATAGTAGCAGGGAAGTTTATTGCTCGACGGAGGGAATATATTGTAACTACCACAAGGCCGGCCTTGAGAATTCGATGGCTTGGGCCGAGACAAAAAAATTACCCTAAAAGGTCTTAGCCCTAATGTCTTAATGAATTAAAATGTATAAACTTATTATATTTAAATGTGGTGGGGTTCCCATGACATTGGAACCTCATGTCATGGGATGACCCGATGGCGTAACAAAATAAGTAAATGACATACAAAATTATAGTAAAGGCTTTATATACACTTATCCTTCCCAAACTAATGTCTTGAACATTGGACCAGACGTCGACCCGGACGAGCTAGTGGGTCAAGGGTTAATTGGTCAACTATAATTAAAAGAATATTATTTTATATTATATTGTTATATATTTTTAATTAATAAGGAATTTTAATTTGTGTTTTTTCACTCTTGCATTTAATTTTCAATATTATTTTGCATATGATGTCACATTTTCTATTTTCTATTTGTATTATTTTTTATTACTATCAAATATAAAAAATGAATATCTAATAAGTACTAAAATAGTAATGCAATACTCATATTTTAAAAAAGAAAAGGCTAGGTAATGTGTTTTTTATATAAGACTCCATAATCCGTATGAGACATCTTATACTTATATTTAGTTGATTCAAACTTGAAAAAGTAGAAGAAAAAATAATTTTAATTTATTAAAGTATAATAAATATTTCTTAATTTTTATGCATGACAATTTTTTTGGATAATCCGTGTTTTTTTTTTGAAAAAAATTATTTTTTAGGCATAAGTATTCATATTAATTTTTAGATAAAACATAAATAATTTTTTTTATTTATTTATTTAAAATTTTTTTTATAAGTTGATTAAATAAGTATACTAGATACTACTAGTGATTTTTTTCTAAACAATTGGAAGTTTTGTTAGAATATTGGAGGTTTTATTACCCTACAAGCATGGGCTAGAGGCTAATAATGTCAGTTTAAGATGTGCAGAGACAAGGATGGTTCTTTTATAGCAATCTACATACTAACAAAAACGAAGTATTTTATTTGTTTCGTAGAATAGGGAGTATAATTCTTTGGCTAGTGATAGAAATTTAGTCGAGGATTTGAAAATACTATAGATGAGCAAAGTTTCAAAAGAACTAGCTAGAGACATGGACAATGAGCTCACTTCTAATGTATCATTGAGGCTATTGAGAAGTATAATTGTTGGAATTTTTGCATTTTTATAGGCATTAAATGGACCAACTTGGGTATATTTGTCATTAGGTCCACTAACGGTTTTAACCGTAAATTAATGGACGTGTTCCCTCTTAAATGAGATAAATGTTTGACAAATATTACGCTAAAAATGGTAGAGGGTGAATGAGAAATTGATTCTCAGAGTTAACCCGTTAATAAAAGAATATGGTGAGGATTGCAATTTTTTTTTTTTGCAATTTTATTGAACCAATCTTCTTTTATTAATTTTACGTATTGTTTAAAATTAGTCCATTTTTACGGAGTTAACTGGCCATTAATCTTCAATTATTCGGGACAAATTTTAAATGAAGCGTAGCGTAATGGACGTGTTAATGGCTAATTAATCACCATTAACACACCACAAATGTCATGATTAATTCCAATGGTTAATGGTGTAGGAGTTACATTTTTTAAACTCCTTAGTTATAAAAATCAAAGCTCTCTCCATCATTTTGTGTGTGTGCCTTGCGTGAGGAAGAGAGAAAGAAAAGAGAAAACACTTTATTATTTTCTTTTAGAGAGAGCTCTTGATTTTCAGGCCAATTTTTCCGGCCATCCCCTTTAAAGTTTTTTGTCGCCAACGTTCCTACGTTGTTCTTGTTCGTTGGTGTGTGGTTGGTCCGTACAATCTCCACACACGATAGCGGTTTTATCCTGGGAGGAGAGTGCCCACGTTTTTCCGGTACGGTAGGCGGGCACTACTACCTTAAGGACAGCTCCGGCGACTCCGCTGTCCTTCCGTGGTGTTTTCTTTGCAGGAACAGTTCATAAAGACCTCGCTGCATTCTGTCCTAGTGCATAATGTCCTCGCAGCCCGATGCATAATGTCCTCGCAGCCCTGTGCATAACGTCCTTGAATTGCTGTCCAGTGCTTAAAGACCTCGCTGTCCAGTTAGTTCATAAAGACTTCGTTGCGTTCTATCCAGTGCTTAATGTCCTCGCGGTCCAGTGCTTAACGTCCTCATACTACAAGGCTGTTTGAAGATATAGAAATTTATTTTTCAACTTTATTTATTTTGTAATATTCTGAATAATTATAAATTCAGAACTTTATTTATTTTTATTTCCGGGGGCCGTTCATCTTCCCCGTCCGTTGTAATCCGTACAAGAATTGTAACGGTCTTAAGGTAGTAGTCATATCCGTGCGCAATGGCGGGTATGGACGGATTCGGTTTTGACGCTCACACCGGAAACGGGAGTAGTTCCGAGACTCCGGTTGTGAACGTTTCGGCTGGATTGGGTGGCTCTGTTGGGCAGACCACTCCTATCAACATTCCTTTCAGATCGAGTGTGTCCATGGGTCCACTCCGATCACCGCCTTCGTTGGATCGAGCGCGACTATGTGGTCCGCTCCGGTCACCTCGGTTATTAGACCAACCGCGGCTACGGACGAAATGGTCACCCCACTCGGACCGAATATGGCTTCGGCCATACTGGTCATTCCCTCACTTGGACCGAACACGGGTGTCTTCACATCTGCACCGGTCGGACATCCAACTGTTATGCTGCCTGCGAACTCTGTCAAAGAACCGGCAAAGTTCACAAGTGTTGGCTTTAAAATATGGCAGCAAAGGATGTTATTTTGGCTGACCACCCTCAACCTTGCGAGGTATTTGAGGGAGGATCCCCTTGTTGTGGGGGAGAACGCGGACGAGCCAACAATTCAGGCTAAAGAGGCATGGATTGCGAATAACTATACGTGCCTTAATCTTATCCTGAATTGCTTGAGCGATGCCTTATATGCTGTTTATAGCAGGGCCGCATCCGCAAAGGAGTTATAGACTACACTGTCCAACAAATACCAGGCCGAGGACGCCGGTGCGAAGATATTCGTTGTCGGTAAGGTCTTGGATTTTAAGATGGTGGATTCCAAACCCGTGGTCAGTCAAGCTGAAGAATTGATTCTCATTTTTAATGAGTGCACTGACGAGGGAATGGGAGTCAGTGAGGCATTCCAAGTGGCGGCGATTATTCATGTGCTCCTGCCGGCTTGGGATGAGTTTTGGAGCTATCTCAAGCTCAAACGGAAAGAAATGACTTTAGAACAGTTGCTTGTTCGTCTCCGGATCCGTGAAGAGGGTCTCACTCGCGAGAAGAAAGTAGCTGTTGCTAAAGCAAATGTGGTGGAGCATCCACCCAAAGAGGATTCTTCCAAAGGGCCCAAGTCAAATAAGGACAAGAAGAAAATTGGTCCTAAAGGAGGCGTCGCGAAGCCCAAGTTCGCGGGGAAATGCTACAACTGTGGCATTACGGGCCACCGTTCTTTAGAGTGCCGCAAGAAGCCTCAGAAGAAGTAGTAGAAGAAGGAAGAAGCTCTCTGCTCGGAGCTAGATGCTATGGACCTTTGTGCTGTCGTGACAGAAGTCAACCTGGTCGGGTCTAACCCGAAAGAGTGGTGGGTTGACACCGGAGCCACTCGTCATATCTGCTCCAATTGGGCCATGCTCTTTGACTTTAAGGAGACTTTTGGAAACAAGGTGTGGATGGGCAACTCCGCCCAATCCCAGGTTCAAGGCGTGGGCAAAGTTAAGCTCAAGATGACATCCAACAAGGAGCTCACGCTGAATGATGTGTTGTATGTGCCGGACATACGAAAGAACTTGGTGTCAGGCTCACTATTGAACAAACATGGATTCCGCATGGTGTTCGAGTCTGATAAGCTGATCTTGAGCAAAAAGGGAATATTCATAGGCAATGGTTATATTTCTGATGGGCTTTTTAAGCTTAATGTACTCACTGTTGTTGAGAAAGTTAATAAAACTCCTGTTGCCTATGTTTGTGAGTCTTCCGATGTGTGGCATGGAAGACTAGGACATGTTAATTATGCATCCCTTCGGAAATTAATTAACATGGAATATATCCCTAAGTTTGACATCGACTTGTCCCACAAATGTGAGAACGTGTGTCGAAGCAAAGTCAACACGAAGTTCATTTCAAACAATTGAGCGAACCACTCAGCCACCAGATTTAATTCACATGGATCTGTGTGATTTCAAAGCAACGTCTTCAAGAGGTGGTAACAAATATGTTATCACTTTTGTCGATGATAGCACGAAGTATTGCTATATTTATTTACTTAAAAGTAAAGATGAGGCGTTGGACACTTTCATTCGGTATAAGAATGAAGTAGAAAATCAACTCAATCGCAAAATTAAAGCGATTAGGAGTGATAGGGGCGGGGAGTACGAAGCTCCATTCGCCGAATTGTGTGCACAACAAGGGATTGTGCATCAAGTAACCCCTCCATACACACCCCAATCAAATGGTGTGGCGGAACGTAAAAATTGCACTCTCAAAGATATGATGAATGTGATGTTACTCAGTTCGGGGCTACCCCAAAATATGTGGGGGGAGGCTATTTTATCTAGCAATTATTTGTTAAATAAAATACCCCGAAAGAAACTCGATAAGACTCCTTACGAGTTGTGGTATAATAGGAAATCTTCCTATAAATACCTGAAAGTGTGGGGGTGCCTTGCAAAAGTTTTAGCACCACCACCAAAGAAAATAAAGATTGGTCCAAAGACCGTTGATGGAATCTTTATTGGGTACAGTGGTAGCGCGTATCGATTCTTAGTGTATAGGTCTGATAATCCAGAAATACATAAGAACATGATAATGGAATCGAGGAATGCAACATTCTTCGAAAATATATTTCCGTTAAAGTTGAGGGAAGAAGCAAGTTTTTCCAAACGTTCACATGATGAAATGTTGAACGATGGTTCCTCGGATACGTCTAATACCGGTATAATTGATGAAACCGAAATTGAGACTAAACTAAGACGAAGTAAAAGGACACGGACTCAGAAGTCCTTTGGTAATGATTTTCTAACTTATTTGTTGGAATTTGAATCGGGGACTCTATCATTTTTTATAGAGACTGAACCCGATATTCTAACATGTTTATTAAAAAATGAACCACGAACTTATCGTGAAGCAGTGACTTCGTCTGAAGGCCCTCAGTGGAAAGAGGCAATTAAAAGTGAAGTTGATTCTATTATGCAAAATCACACTTGGGAGTTAGTGAAGCTACCTCCTGGATGCAAACCATTAGGTTCTAAGTGGATCTTTCGGAGGAAAATGAAACCATATGGTTCCATTGATAAGTACAAAGCCAGACTTGTAATTAAGGGTTACAATCAACGTGAAGGCTTTGATTATTTTGATACATATGCCCCTGTGTCAAGGATAAATTCCATTAGGATGATACTTGCAATAGCTTCCTTGCGGAACTTAGAAGTTCATCAAATGGATGTGAAAACAGCTTTCCTTAATGGAGATCTAGAAGAAGAGATCAACATGGAACAACCAGAAGGGTTTATAGTTCCTGGTCAAGAAAGGAAAGTATGTAAACTCGTTAAGTCATTATATGGTCTTAAACAGGTGCCAAAAGTATGGCATGAAAAGTTTGACCAGGTAATGATGAACTCTGGGTTCAAAATTAATGAATCAGACAAGTGTGTTTATCTAAAAAACACATCCCAAGGGTATGTCATGTTGTGTCTATATCTAGACGACATACTCATAGTTGGTAGCGATGATAAGATGGTCAAGTCTACCAAAGACATGTTAAACTCGCGATTTGACATGAAAGATATGGGTCTGGCTGAAGTAATTCTTGGAATTAAAATTGTGAGAAGACCTGGGGGTCTAGTACTGAGCCAATCCCATTATATTGATAAATTCCTTGACAAGTTCAACAAGGATGACGTTAGAGTAGCAAAGACGCCGTTGGACGTCAATGCACACCTGGCTAAAAACCGAGGTTCCAGTAACTCTCAAATCGAGTATATTGGAAGTTTGATATATCTAATGAGTTTCACTCGACCTGATTTAGCCTGTGCCATAAGTAAGCTGAGTAAATACACCAGCAATCCGAGTGATGAGCACTGGAAGGCTATTGTACGAATGATGAGATACCTGCGGTATACACGTGACTATGGATTATGCTACTCGAGATATCCACCAGTATTGGAAGGATACTCAGATGCAAATTGGATATCTGATAGTAAAGACTTGAAGTCCACAACTGGATATGTCTTTACGCTAGCGGGTGCAGCAATATCTTGGAAATCCTCAAAGCAAACAGTGATTTCTAGGTCTACTATGGAGTCTGAGTTTATAGCTTTAGATAAATGTGGAGAGGAAGCTGAATGGCTACGCCACTTCCTAGAGGACATTCCAAGATGGGATAAACCGGTCCCACCAGTTTGCATCTATTGTGATTGTCAATCAGCAATAGGACGTGCAAAGAGTAATATGTATAATGGTAAGTCTAGACATATTCGTTGGTGGTCCCAAAGTGGTGAAATACAAAGTCTAGAGGGGGGGGGTGAATAGACTTTGTTACAGATTTAAAATCTTTTTCGTTTCTTTTAAAAACGTGAAAGTAAGTGTTAATCTAGAGTTCTTGTGAACTTTAGATTGTATGCGGAATTTGGTGGGTAGAGTGAGCAGTAATCAATATGGATGGGTTAGTTTTCACAGTTAATATAATTGTAAGTAAGAGTGAAGATAAAAGAGAGAGAGACACGCAAACTTTAACGAGGTTCGAAGGTGGGGTAATCCTTCTACGTCCTCAAAATCCACTATGTAGTTGGTTGTTGAATAATGAACCAACAATTACACTTGTGTGAATTTCTGCACGGTATATCTTCGCAAGGCCAATGTTGCTACTGCACTCGTGCTGGCTTTGTTGTTCCTTCGAAGGTCACGCTTCTTCAACAACTGCAACGTCCGAACAATAGGACTTGCAAGATCAACTTGTAAGAAAGTTGACCTACCCCCTTTTAATCAAGAAGTTTGATCAAAAGTTGTATCCTTCAACGTGGTGTGGTACTTGAGGCA